AGAACAGTTTGTGTTTGTCCCTGGTGCTTTCCAGGGAGATCTGGAAGAACTAAACTGTAGATTTTTAATTGATTTTAATCTACACCCCCATACTTATATTGTATACATGCAGATCAGGTGCTCAAGTTGTCAGGCTGCATCGCCAGAAAGATTTGTTATGCACCAGAGCGAATGACTAAATGTCAAGATGCTCTGTTGATGCCAAAGACTTTCAATCTTGTTTAAAATAGGAGTTTCCCAAATATCCTGAGAATGAAATCAGGAAATGGTTGTAGTGGTGAAGACTGGCGCAGGAGGCAGGCATGCCCAGTTCCAGACTTTGTTGCCCAGGATTGCACTCTCACACACATGCACACACAGAGAGATTTTTCAGAGTGTAGCTTGCTTTAGTCCTTACAAATATATGGATACTTGTGTATGGAACAGACTTCAGGGAAAAAATGTTTCTGGCAAGTTCTTTCACACATTGCATATTTTTGCTGCTTTGGGGCTGTTTCCACCAGTGGTGAATTTCTGCAGCAGTTGGGTATTTAAATAGGTAATGGACATAAAATCCCAAGAGACAACAATGTTTTAAAATAATACCACTGCCCAGTAATGTTGCACTGATCCCAAAGACTGTTTTTTGTGTTTAAAGGAAATACATGGATCTTAGGTGATGGATGAAGAGAGTGGGTCAGAGGCAAAGGGCCCAAAAGTGGAGCAGGGTGGACTCTGTTAATGGGACATTAGGAGGGATAATTAAATAGAGCCCCTGTGTTCAGAGGCAGGATACCTTTGAATCACAGCTTGGAAAATTGACTTTTGGACAACAACTCTCAGAACCTTCCAATGAATGGGGAACTCTGAGGTTTGTATATCCAATGAAAGCAATTTTAACAAGCTTTGCTCTGAATACTACTGGCTGCCTTAGGGAGACTGTTGCTTTCACCCTTTGCTGATGGGCTTCTGGGATGCATCCGGTTAGCCAGCATAGGAGATAGGAAGGTGGACCAGATGGGACAGGTTTGGTCTGATCTGGCCACAGGGTTCTTCTTAAGAGCAACAACTGAGAGGCAGACATGAGATTGCTGCCAAAGAGTGAGTGAAACGGGTCTTCTTCTTTTTTAATGGATTGCACTTTCCTTCACCCTGTATAACTGGGAAGTTCGGCTGTTCTCCCCTAA